TTTTTTTATATATATGGCTCAAGGTGGCGAATTCTCCTGCCTCCTGTTTTCCCCACAACAACAGCCCTGTGAGGTGGGTAGGACTGAGAGTGACTGGCCCACAGTCCCCCAACTGTGGCAGAACTACAACTCACATTCCCCTGGTTTCTGGGCCAGCACCTTCACCACTACACCAAACTGGCTCTCTTAATTTAATTAATTCATTAGCCAATGATTTCCTTACAAAATTGACTCTGTGATTGCCCCATCTGTCTTGTAATGTTTTAAATTTGTTTTTCCTAATCGGTTAACTTTTTACAAACCATTGATGCTATTTTCTTACACGTGGCTTTGAAATATCTTTGATGGGATATATATAATATATATAATCCCAGTATTTGCTGGATTACTCATATATATACATATACATACATACATACATACATACATACATGCATATGAGGGTAATCCAGCAAATACTGTGGTTATTCTGAACTTTACATTTAGGAACGTCCGGTGAAACCAGGAAACAAGTTAATGCAAGAAACCATTGTAGGAGGAGAGATGTGTTAGTCATTGGCAACACCTTTCCTGAGTCACCATTTTTTTTTTAAAAAGCACCAGCTTTTGTGAGCTGCATGGAGTGGCTACACTGATGTAGGGTTTAAATTGGGGTGCTGTCTTCCCCTCGTTCCAGTTTAAATCCTATATCAGTTTAGTCACTCCGTGCATCTGAGGAAGGGAACTGCAGCTTACAAAAGTTCCTGCCTTTAAAAAAAAAAGATTGCTTAGAAGGGGCTACCAGACTCCTTCCAAGAAACCACAATCCAGTTAACCGTGGATTGGTGTGTCCTTCAAAACAACCCAGTATATCCAAGAAGCTTGTAAGTGTTGCAACAGGGTGCAGCAGCTCGTTTAGCTGAGAAAGGTGGTGTTAACTGCCTTCTGTAACCTCTGAAAGGCACTTATGTTTTACCCTGCGGGGCGGCTACAGAAAAGACGGGCTCTCTGACATCTGACGGTCGTATCACGGATGGGACCACCAGCAGATCCTCTTGAGAGGTCTGTGCCGGGCAGTTCTTGATGCCTCCTGGTTGCCCACCATGCAGGGCTTTTGAGGCAAAAACCCACCTTTTGACCCAGACCTGGAAGCCTACAGGGAACCAACCCATCAATCTTAGGATAGTCATCATTATGTAGCAGGGGGTTTCACCCACTAGTAGCTGTCTGCTCCATTCAGTACAGCTGCAGGTTCGGAGTCATCTTCAAAGGCAGCCCCAAGTAGTGTGTGTTCCAGCAGTCAAGACACGGGATGGTGAGGAGGTGAAGATCAACACTAAGGCTTCCATGCCTGCTGCACCTCATTGTTCAGTCCCACCCAGAACAACCCTTATTTCTGGATGGCCAAGATGTTTATAGACTAGTGTTTCTCAACCTTGGCGACTTCAAGATATGTGGACTTCAACTCCCAGAATTCCCCAGCCAGCTGTGCTGGCTGGGGAATTCTGGGAGTTGAAGTCCACATATCTTAAAGTTGCCAAGGTTGAGAAACACTGGTCTGGCAGATCCATTCATATCACAAGAGAAGCTTGGTTAATATTAATCTTTTTTTTCCCCATGGAATATATAGTTCTGTTTGGTTATGATTCAATGTCCTGTATTGCACGAACCCAGAAAATAAGTTGATTCAGTAATCAAGCATGTGTGAGTCACCAAAACAAGGCACTTTAGTCTGGCTTGTTATGCAGATCCAGCCAAGGGTGGTTCGTGTATGATTCAGTGAGTCCCACAACCCAGAAAATTGGATTACACAAATAACTTGTATTTAAGAGACCGCCGATTCCCCTCCTTTTGGCATCCTGCATTTGGACAGTAGATGGAGTTGCTGGACCAGGTTTTTTTTCCTACCCAAGAAATATTGTCTGACTGAACACACACAGATCCAGGTCTCCCGAGGAATCAAAAACTAAACACCAAAGAGGAAAGGGCTGCCTTTGATTTAATTCAGACAAAAAACACAACCTTTTTAAAGCAGAATCTTTTTTTTATTTTAATTTTTTTTGAAATTTATTCCAACATAACCATTTCTGCTCTCCTGAACTTTTGGAAAAAATAAGGATCTCTTTTTTTTTGTAACCTTGACAGATCAAACGTCCATCTCTTCTTTTCATACCATTACCTTTGTGTATGTACCTGACGGGCTTATGCAATAATCATGCCTAGTGCTGTATATTAAAGCTCAAAGAAGAGTTGCTCGGATGGTTTTGCAGCTAAATTTCAGATCGGTAAGAACGGAAGGATCCTTTCTAAATGTATTCCTGGACAGCTTAAC